AGATCCTCGCGGACGAGCTAAAATCCCTGAACCTTCCGACACGCGACGCTGCATAGGTAACTGCAGTGTAGCCACTGAGCGACCCGGATTGTCCCGCAGGTGCTGCTCCTGGCGGGGGCGGACGCCAGCGCGCGCGGGGGCCGGCTGCGCAACGGGCGCCTGCACCGGCGGCCGGGGGCCACAGCTCGGCGGCGAGCCTGCTGCTGGCGGCGGGGGCCGACGTGGACGCGGCGGAAGCCTGCGGGTTGACGGCGCTGGCGCTGGCGGCGGGCGCAGGGCACGACCGCGTGGCCGCGCTGCTGCTGGACCCAGGCGCCGCCCCCGACGCGCCCCCCCGCGCCGCCGGCGCCGACGCCCACGCCCAGGCCGCCCGCTCGCCGCTCGTGCTGGCCGTCGCCGGCGGCCACGTCAAGACGGCGCGCAGCTGCTGGAGCGCGGCGCCGACGCCAGCGTGCGGGACGCCCAGCGCCTGCCGCTGATGCTGCCGCCGCCGCGGGCCGCCACGACGTGGTGGAGCTGCTCCTGCGTGGCGCGGCGTCCCTCGACGCGACGGACCGGCACGGCCGCACCGCGCTGCACCTCGCCGTCGCGGGCGGGCACCCGGACGTCGTGAAGCCGCTTCGGGAGGCGGTGCTGCCGTGGACATCCGCGAGCCGACCGGAACACCCCGCTCCTCCTGGCGGCCGGCTCGGGGCACATGGAGTGCCTGCAGCTGCTGCTGAGAGCGCGGCGCGTCGCGGCGGAGTGCAACGGCAGGGCGTGTGCGCGCTGGAGCGCGCGGCGCGGGGCGGGCACGCGGCGGCCGCGGAGCTGCTGCTGCGGCGGGGCGAGGGGTGGCCGGCGGCGGTGCTGGCGCGCGCGGCGGCGCGGCGCGCAGCGCGGCGGTGGGTGTGGGCGCTGGCGGACGCGGCGCCCGACGCGCTGCGCGGCGACGCCGGCGCCGAGGCGCTGCTGTGCGCGGCCGAGGACGCGCGCGCGGACGCCCTGCGCGCGCTGCTGGCGGCCGGCGTCGCGCCCGACCGCGCGCGACTGCAACGGCTGCACGGCCCTGCACGCGGCCGCCAGCGCGGGCCACGCCGCGTGCGTGGGCGCGCTGCTGGACGCCGGCCCGCCGCGCACGCCAGGAACGCCGCGGGCAGCACGCCGCTGCACTTCGCCGCCGGCAGAGGCCACCCGCGCGCCGCGCGGGCGCTGCTGGCCGCCGGCGCCGACGTGCACGCGCGCAACGACCTGGGCTGCACGCCGCTGCACGCCGCCGCCGCCGCCAACGACGCCGCCGTCTGCGAGATGCTGCTGGCGGCCGGCGCCCGCGCCCGCGACGCGGACAACGACGGGCACGCGCCCGGCGATCTCACCAGGTCCGATACGGTTCGCATGCTGTTACGGCTGTAGCTTTCTCCACTTGCTGCCCTCAATGGGTGGATTTACAACAGCCATCTGCCTGCAAACTCCATTACAGCTAGGAGACAAGTGTATACGGCTCTGGAATTCGTTTTTTCCCATGAATAATATTAGGGAATTATTTACTATTAAAATACATGTCACGGTTTGTATTAAGATTTGAAAGCAATCTTCAAGAATTTACCTTCCACCAAAGGACAATGCAAAATAATATGGCATTTTACAAGACGTAAACACATTAAAGTCAATCAAATGGTCCTCAGATACATAATATTTCGTGTATTTTGTATAGACGTTCCATTCCCCAAGAATTTCAACTACCTTTTATGACTTATGCAATGTCAGAATAATTAATTGTTTCTCATTAGGAAAATAATTTTTATAATAAATGATTGTATCTCAAATAATTCATTACTTTACTTTTTAATGTGTATAATAATTACATAGTACTTCCTTTTCCCCCTCCATTTAGAGTGATAACGTTACTATATTTACTTCCCATTACTGTTAACTTCATACTTTTGGTATTTTCAAAAACAAGTTATTGTATATTTATTGTAAGTATATTTTCTTGAAAATAAAAACTTACTGCACCGAAAAAAGGAACCGTCGGAGTATACCAGATCCATAAGACTGTACCAAGGAAACTTTTCGGTATGAATGAGAAAAAAAGGCTATTCAAATAGTATAGGAGAAGCATTAAAAGGAAATTTAGTACCAGAAATCATCAATATTGTCTACTAAAAATATTATTTGTTTAAAATGTGCCTACTTTAAATACTATAAAAATTCTACTATGAGTTGACTAGTGAATGGGAGCTTCTAGTAAAACGACTAGGTAAGGGGGTTGGGAAGTTGACTCACAGACACCTTAGCTGATGTCACGAACTAAATACTCCCCTTCGTTTTTATAAAAATACTTTCAGTTTATGATCGGACCGTTTTCATGTAAAAAGAATGAATGCGGTGGAATTATTTTCGACTCGCTGTGAGATCGTTATCCATGAATTAAGTTTGGTTGTGTTTTGGAACTCGTTTTCGTAAAGTATGCTGTGGAAAAACTATGCAAATGAATTACTTACATTAAAATACTCGGCTGAGAGTTTGATTATTGATACGTAAGATTAAAAGCTCTTAACTACACAGCATCAACATTAAAAATATTATTGTAATTTCAGCAAAGAAATAAAAATGGGATGTTGAATAAAATTGGTATCAGATGTCATCTTGTCAGCTACTCGTAGGTTATCTTGGGAGGCGTCCGCGAAAAGCGAGTAGTAGTGTATATTGTATTTACGTGCAAGACATTATTTAAACATTTCCAGTTCGGCTTTTCTTACGAAAATGGTTTGTACAATGAATGTGAGCCTATGAAAGAAGACGTCATTGAGATTGAAGATGTTTGAGTGACGTTGTCACGACGCACTTCATTCTCCATGGCACCATAGTTATGATGAGGCTACATAAAAAGTATTGCCAAAATTAAACACATCATTTTCAAAATTTTAGGATCTCGAGTTAGACCAGATAGATGGAACAATATCAATTTTAGATAAATTCGCCTGGAAGTTTTAGGCGCTAGTGTTGACTCTAGGGAGTTTTGCCATCAACCAGTTTTTTGGTATCAATAAACCCACAAAATGTGGATTATGACTAAACAACGTTTTAAAGAAGTAATTTTCTACAATATACTGGAACTATTTATTCACATATCGATATCAGGGTTCCATAATACGAGGTTTTCTGACGAAAGATCACCACTTTCAGCTGCAGCATTACAATACTTTCTCTTTTGTACGTAAGTACGTAGTATGGTAAGAAAGTGAAATAGAAGTGAGACTTTAATATCATTTTGCAACATAGTATGAAACGTACAATCGTATAACATAACCAGAGGTATAATATAAAGCATTATCCGAATCATTCAAAATACGGGTCTCTCTGGGAAGAATTTATTTCAAAGAGCATTTTCATAGCCATTATTTTAAAAACAAACTCCCTTCCTAATTTTTTAAAGTTCGTTTTCATTTAATTGAATCATTCGTTGTTTTAATGACTTTTTCTTACCTTGACATTTTTACATTCCTCTTTTTTCTCAGCTAATATTCTATAACTCTGAACAAGACATTTACACACGAATCGAGTGATTTGTTTGCATTTCAGTTTCATGTAGAAATGGATCTGGAATATTTTCAGTAAAGCGCAAAGAACAGTTGAACAGCAGCGCGACGGCGGCGGCCCCTTTCAAGCACTTACAATTAGGTCTTTTCCTTCCATGGTTGGTTTGTCCCGAATGTACATGTAGAATTAGAAAGTAATTTTCGGGAGAAAAGATGGAGAGATTATTTGGTCTCAATTTACACACGGCCCTAAATTATCTGAGCCGAGTCAAAAGCTGCACGAGAAAGGATCAACCCTTTCAACCAACATTTGTGTGAAATGGAGCCGCAACACGGAGAGGTAGATACGTTCCCTTTCTACTGAACATCCATTGTTTTCTACCCTTTGTTCTTTCATAGTAATATTTGCTTTGTTTTTCAAGGACAGTTTCTGATTAACTATCTTGTTTGATTTTATGTACGATACAGTATCATTTAACGTCGTTTCCTCCACACCAGCTATTATCACGGTCTCAGTGAGTGTGGCTAGTCTTACGTCATCCATCGCGCTGCATTGTGATGAATAGTGTAAAACTACCATTACATTACATTAAAAATACGTTAAAAGTGTTTCACTAAAATTAGTACGTAAATAATTGTCTATTAGCCTCATTAATTGTCTATTAGCCGTAAAAGTTTACCAACAAAGTGTGTGCTGGTATTTTTCGCCGAGTTTGGAACACCAAATTAACCGAGTGAAATAAATTATAGCAAGGTACACACATACAACATTCTCAGTCGTAATATGGATCCAAATGTGAGTAAGGAAATATCTTACTATATTATTATTCATTACTAAAATACCCAGAGGTTTATGGCGTGCGATTTAGCTGATGTTCCATCCATGAATGATGTTGAAACGTTAAATAAACTAAGATATTGGGACAATAAACTCTATGAACAGGTTCTTGGGACTAATGCCCATAGTTTTAATTATTAAAATGCATTTGTTACTCAGTAACAAGCACACAACTTGTATTCTTTATGTCTGCGGAACATATTTCCGAGCGTATACGCGTCTAAAAAAGTGACAAGGTGTTGACAATTACTGAATAAAATATGTATTGAAAACATAATTTTGGTACTCTCTTCTCAGCCCAAATATTTTAACACTTATATTCTAAAATATCACAAAAAGTATTGAGATTTTAGGCTAAATAAATGTACGTAAACATGTTTGAGATTAGATTTTATAGTCTTCATCCTCATATAGATTTAATAGTCCTCATTCTTATACATTGAGGACGATCTAGAATAGAAAATACAATGTAAAACCTTGGATCAATTAGGGGAACATTAAATTGAATAAAATAAAAAATATCTGTGAAAGATAAAATAAATTTTATTAGCTTCATGATGAGATTATGTACAAATGAGAGACACTAACGACTGAAAATGAAAGAAGGAATTTTGAACAATTCAAAATTCACATAATTTTACCAATGTATTAGGTTTTGCAACATATTTTATCCAGACAATTCTTTCGAGGCACAGTTTTTTCTTGTACTTTATTAATTTTAAAAAAATGTGTTGAAGATTTATTTGTATCAAGAAATTCAACTATAGTACAATCATTGCAATCAACACGTGTTCACGATGATTCACATTTTTGATGGAGAGTCATTCCAGATCTTAACCTTTAGCAAAGGGTGACTTAGTATTGGTGGTAAGGAAGTAGGAACCAGACGCACTGCAAAAATGAAAACAAATTTAAAGATAACAAATTACCTATAGTATAGTAATAATACAATAGTACAACATAGGTAGTCTTCCGAAATAATGATAGTATATTTACAACATCACATTAAAATGTGCTGTGAGCAAATGTTTTGAGAATATTTTCCACATTATGAGTTCCCCTGTCAAAAAATTAAACTAGCTCTGGCAATATAGAAAAAATCCTCAAAACATGTTTGTTAAAAGTGTTTACTTTTAAAATGTTACAGACTCTTGTCTGTAACATTCTAATGTGATTTTGAACTTAAACAATCATGGTTGTGGAAGATTACTTCCGTTTCCCTTCACATGCATAATTTTCATAAGAGTTTTTCAGTAACTGCTAATTTTAACGAATGTATGTATTATTATGGTTAACCTGAGACAATGTTTTAAAATTAATAATACCATTATAATTTAATAATTACCTCGTTGATGCAGGCTCTCCCAGCACGGCAGTTGGATTTGACGAACAAGAACCAGCCGTGAACAGAGCGTACGTTGAGCACCGCCTACCGACGAATTTGCTAGAGTTGATGGATTCGGCGTAGTATTCATGGGAGCGACCATGACTGCATGCTCCTGTAAATTTTGAATTTAATTGTATTTTAATGAACATATTTTCAAACCTTTTTTATTATATTATTTATACAGAAAATTGATATTTATAATATTCTTAATAGACTCGTATTGTTTAATTATTACAATAGGCATGTTCAATAACAAAAATCCATACCAGCTATATCAAGACCACATCCAGCCTGGGATTTACCGCCGTTGGGGAAAAAGTCAGCGTTTCCCAAAGCATCTGCCCAACCCAAAAGACCTCCGTTCGTGTGGATTACTTGCACGAACTTGGCGTCGGATGCATCGAGGCGATTGGCCAGGGACTCGCTGCCGAAGGAAGGCGCAGCAGGGTCAAGACCTTCAATGCAAGAATTATGCATTATAACAAATTATCCTTAATAATTAGTTTCTTAATTCGTGGTATTTGGGGAAATTAATCAGATTAGTTGTGAACTTACCGACGACGGATGCAAGATTGGCGCCCAGATTGTAACCAGCAACTCCAGAAGCATGAGCTCCCAAACTGTGCCCAATTATGTACAGTGTGTTGCGGTTCAAACCCTTCAGTGAAATGAGATTATTCACAACTTGGGCAATGTATTTGCCAACATTAAGAGCACTTGTTTTGGCAGAAGCATATGAAGCAGAAGCCAATTTTGACCAATCCACCAAGATAATATTGTAGTTTTTACCGGTTTTGATGTAAGCTATAAAATATTTTTTGAATTAAAAGATACATTTATTATATAATAATAATAATAATAATAATAATAATAATGATAATAATAGTAATAATAACATAAAATTGTTTGAAAAGAAACGTTATGTTTTACCTGATCTGAAGTGATCCATGTTTTTACCCGCAGAATTCCAACCGTGAATGATAAAACGGGTGGGGTTACTGGCATCAAAGTTAGAGGGAATACTGTTAATTTTGATGACTTGTGCGCTTGTTGGATTTTTTCTGCAGCGATGAAAACAACAATTAGTCAATATCTAGTAATTTATTCTGATGTGTAAGAATACTAATAGTAAAACAAATTAATAGCATTTATCAACCTTGTAATTGCAATTGCAACCTTGTAAATGGACTCTTGTAATTGCAACTAATGAAGTATCACAAATATAATAAATTGACACTCCCTAATATTACAACAAAACTAAAATTTTTCAAATAATATAGAAATAGTTATTTGTAATACGAGTGACTTTATTTTGCGAGTAGTAAATGTTGCAGCAAGTGGCCGGTAAAACGAGTGGTGCAATCCTATGAAAAAATACAATTACGTAACTACGAGTCATTCATTATTTTTAGATAACCTTACTGACTTTCCTTTTATTTTAATTCAAATATACAAATCACTCAATGACACTTTAGGGTCAGTAGAAGCTGTTGGGGTCAGACAAATGTATTACGTTTTCTTTGCGACATTCTCAGATTCGAGAGCGTAGGCTTCCGCGGCGAAGTCAGTATTTACTTCGCTGTCTGGGTGACGGCGCGTCCATTGCAATGGTGTCGACGTTTTGGTCGCCATTCTGCGACCTTCCTCAGGGCTTAGAGCCCTGAGAATTGCGCCCTGAGGAAGGTCGCACAATGGCGACTGAAACGTCGGAACCTTTGCCATGGACGCGGCGTCATCCGGACAGCCAATTAAATATTCTCAGATTTACAGAACACTTGATGATCGACCGATTTTCGCGCCAGTGCTAAAATGGTAAGGGTAAGGGCTACGCACTGCGTGTAGAGGCTGAGGGTGACGTCGGTGGCGCCGTTGAAGCGCGGGGCCACCGCGGGCTCTTCCTCCAAGTCAACCAAGTGGAGCAGCCCGTTGCCATCCGGAATCCACATGTAGCGCTGCGCTGGCGTCGCCGCAGCGCAGGCTGAAACAAGAAGAAAAACATTTACGATTCGTTAAATGCAGCAGTCATTTAACCCGGAGGTGGGAACGTGGAAAACCTGACGTCAGTGGAACGTTGAATCAAATAGACCAGCTTGTTATTAGAGCCTATTTAATACACTAATTTTATTATGAAGTAAAATATGCAAATAAATTATAGATCCAATATCAAGCACAAAATATTTCCAATTTTTTAAAAATTCTCTGACTATGACAAAAAACTAAATTGAAAGTGAACGAAGATCAAACAAAGAAAAGCAATTGTAACATTACGTTAATAACTGCAATATTAACACAATATGACTGCATGACCAAAACAAATATAATGGCAGCATTTTTTACAGCAACATTTTATACAATGTTTTATGGAAGCATTTTTTACAATAAATTTTTCGACCTTTTTGTTTTCTTATCCTTTCCGAGAAAGTGTTTTGTGAAAATGTGGCCTACCAAAATGTACAGTAAATAGCATTTATTAACCTTAAAGTATCGACTTTATTTATAAAAAAATAGTCTGCAAAGAGATAAATAAATAAATATATCGTAAATGTAACAAACATTTAAGTCAGTTTTATAAAAATCCATCGTTTACGTAAATAATTAGCTTAGCTTGGTACCCTCCAGTGGGTGCTTTTATATAGAACAATTTTATTTGCTCTTCGCAAGTTCATTACAAAAAGGAATTTTAAAAATAATATCTGGTTTGTGTATTGGCAAGCAAAACGAGTAACATGAAAAATTAATGATAGAAGTACTCTTTAAAAATTTATGATTCGCTAGACTTATTACCAATCGTCAATCTTATGAATCGTATCCTAAGATATAACTTAATGCTGGAAAGGCAGTAGCAACAGCCTTTTACCGTTATATGTGCATTGAAACTTCTAAAAAGAATGCCCACTTAAAATGAGTACCAATCGATTCTTCTTGAGAGCAACATTATGAGCAACTGATCACTTTCATAAAGGCCTCGAAACTTCCAAAAACGCGGTTAGGGAACTTAACACATCCTACCGAAGAATTATTTTCTTATTTTCTTCCAATAATTTCAAAGAATCGAAAAAACAGTAATTTTTACATACAGATGAGACGCGACGAATTTGCCCTACGTGGTGGACCGGAAGAGATCTATATAAACTTGAGAATGGTCGGACAGGTGACCGGAGGAGCAGATATACACTGCAGGTTACCAGACTACTATACATAAGGTAAACAGTATTTGAACGGGTCTTCGAAGTAACAGTCTTTAAAAAGTTCGTTGAAGTTTAAGATATAAAATTATACACATTGATAACATACCATTATTGCCATAAAATTATACCGTGTAATAACATATATATGAAATGCCATATTAACTTGCATCTATTATTCTTTCTCGTATACGTACGTATATACGGAGTATTATATATAAGAGGAAGTTACATAATGAAAAATAAACTCAATCTCGAGATTTTATTGAAAATTTACTTTTGTGGGCTCTCATCGAAAAAGTGTTGTTTAAGAAACACATCTGTCGCTTCCTGTGTGTGTCCGTCCATCTTTCTGCCTGTTTGTGAACAACACTAACGCCCAAAATTATTCGTAGGATATTTTTCAAAACTAATATATTCCGATTGATCTGGCTCGTCTCGAAGCCCTAAAAATAGAGGGAAATACACTTATGAAGATGGCATATCTCCGGTTTCCACTGTAAGCTACGAATTTTTGAGAACTGAAAAACTTTGACATTTTTAGATCTCCTCGTAAAACTACCCAATTGACCTGATTCGTCTAAAGATTGGAGTTTTTTCAAATGGAATTAGTTCTTCACAATACGTTTTGTAATTAATGTCAATAACATTATTTGAAAAAAATGTAATTTTTGTACAACTTTAATGAAGTTTAGGAATGGTGAACAAATTCCTATAAAAGGCTCCAAATTGTGTACTTGGAAGTTTTGTATACATCGAACTAAATACACTGAATTACGAGTCAATTTGATATATTCTTTTGACTTTTCAAAAAGTACTCAAATTTAATTTTTTTAAATTGTAAATATTGGGCGATTTTTTACATTATTGGATTTGTGAGTGCAAGTTCCTTAAATAATTCCCTGGAAAGTTTCTCGAAAAAATCAAAACTATGAAAATAAACTCAGAATTGTGCAGTTTTGGAAAGGCTTAAATGACATTTTCTCAGAAGCGGCTCCGAATTTGGAAATAAAAATTGTGCACAAGCGACATGTTTTACTTTTCTATAATGTGCTTTAGGTCAAAATTAAATTCTACAATTATTCTTCTACCAAAAAATCGAAAATGTGGGGGCAAAATAGGCACCGTTAGTTAGCAGCTGGGAAGAGGGTGGGGCAATGTAAAATACCATACCGAAGAGATTAGCAAAGTAAGTAGTTAGGGAGTCTATGCGCTATTAATTAGCGCCAATAGTTTTCTATTTCATTCACCTTTCTTTATTGACTTCTATTCACTGCTCCATCGATATGTAGAATTCAATCTCCGCATGATGCACAAAGAAATATAAAATACGCAAAACTTACTTCAAATTGAAATAACCTCACCGATATTAACTTACATACAACGTAATAAAACTATGTACTACCTAAGGTTGGGTATAGTTTTAAAAATAGAAAATCCTTTAGGAGAGAAACTAACGTTTTATAGATCCCAGAATTAATGTTACAAACATCTAGGGTATGTAAAGGTATTATATAATTGTTTTTCCAATGAACATGTATGACTAAATTTCATATAACGATGTTACACATGTAACCTTTGTTGTAGATTGCCAAGCAATTCACTCACTTATTGCACTGGTGATTTGTAGACACGTTTCAATACAGTCAGAAGCGATATTGCATAGTACTTGCCGAACTCGAATGCATTATGGGATGCGTAATAATCAGGGACCAATGCCTCATGTGTAAGTAACTTGGTTATGTGAAATTTCTTATCACATGTTTATTGACTAAACGGGATCATCTTCCATCCCCTGCATGTCCTAGAAGTTTGTAACATTTCTTAAACACCTGTATCGTTGTGTAATTGAAAAAATAAAAAACGCTGGAGCTAATAATTTACAGCAGACAAAATACTGAAAAACAATAAAGAAATTATAATCACAACTAATATGAAATGTAGATAAAGATTTATGCAACGATTTTCCCTTGGCAGTTTTCAAATAACCAAACTGGAAAGTTAGGTGCCTTGATTTCGTTAGTTCAATGACATTCATACCTGCAGCGGCCAGGAGTACAATTACCACAAACTGAGTTGTAAGCATGGTTACAGTGGAATGACTGGCGTTCTAACGCACAATTTCGGCATTTTATACTCTCCGAAAAAGTTACTCACGTGGAGGGAGATATCAGAAGAGATATCACTAATTATAGGCGATTTGTTTCTTTGATGATGGGAATCACGTTCAGTCTGCGCTTCGTGCAAGTCGTTGTTTAGGTAGGCAGTTATTTCAGAAGGCTTCTCGTGAAGTGGATCCTCAAGAGGTTCTCGATTGAGTTATCTGGAGATCGTTGTATCATATTGTAAATAAGTACTTCTTGAGATGTAATGTTATTTTCTAACCCGAAAAATAAAATCGTACGATGACATGGAAGAATACAGAACATTATAAATTTAATAATAAAGCAAACTGTCAATGCCCAAATATGGCATTATGCTTGTCCACAACCTTTTGAACAATTATTATTTAAATAAGAGAATAGTTAGACTGTTTAGAAAGGTAAGTTAGCTTTTCCGATGTTCACACTCTGATTCTATTTCAGTACATAAAATTGTCCGTCAATACATGCAAATTACTCAAAATCTTGTAAGTGAAGAAGTATATTCAATGGCGAAAAAATATTTTATGTACCAACTGTTGACATACTCTAAAATGAAGGTTTCTGATGTAAGTTGTAGAAAATGGTACAATACAGCTAAGCATTTGAAAATCTATTATATATTGATATAGAAACATGGTCACATCATTTAATTCTCAAATGGGCAGATGATATAAATTGTGAAACATCATAAATTTTGAAATGAAGATTTACATTAATTGTAAAATTATGAAAACTAATTAACAAAAAATAAAAAATTAAAACTAATTAAGAAATGAAAAAGTGCATAAAAATCCCTTGTCTACAAGAGTGTAACTATAACATTAAGATGGGATATGTTGCCTTTTGATCAGTGATAACTAATGGTAGCACAATTAGATATTTATTCAATTGTTTCTAAAATAAATGAAAACTACGTTTTTATTAAATTGAGGGTGTCAGCGCAAAAGTGGCCTATCCCCAGATCCTGTGTTTGGAGAAAATGGCTGATGAAGTTATTGGCAAAATGAAACACTCATTTGTAAGTGTTTTCATATTATGATATTATGTAAGAATGACCACTGACTAAACATTTGTGGTGGATTACATCTTGTGTAAAACAGCATCGCCTATGCTTAGGCCACTATTGCCCAAAGAAATGTAATCGTAAGCTGAGTGCAATAGTTCCTTTTGTAATTATAACTTGAAAACTATCGACGCAGATATGCTGAAACTGCTACGTTGAAGTTAGGGAGATTAAGATGTGATTAACACAGAGAACGCAATTTCCTAAAAATGTGGAATAGGGCACTATTGCGCTGTCACCCTCAACTACATTAACAGTAATTCTGCTAATGTTATCAACAAAGTCGAAACATATAATGAAAAAGCTGTTTATTCATATTTTTAAACCTTATTGAACACCAGAAAAGTAAAAATTGAATGTATGTGTGAAATTTCAGTGGAATGGTAGTTTTTTATCTTACAAATGTCTGAAACCGTGTGTAAGTTAGTGACATTCACAAGTGTATTATCACTAACGAACAAATATTAGACTTGTAGCTCTGAGTAATATATTTTATCTTACCACGTTGCTTCTTTAATACATTCTGTTACATTTTCTAACTTTGTGCACTGATG